AAACTAATCATGAACACAAGGCTTAAAATGTTGTACGCCAGACGAATCACGATTTATAAAATTCGTTATTACGATTTTAATCCGATATCACGAATTAGAAAAAATGTGGTAACGAATTTAATTCGTAGTTACGAATTACAAAAACTGTTACAGTAATAACTAGGGATGTCAACTCGGTGAACAATTACTAATCGAGCACTCTTTGGTTTTATCGAGCGATACTCGAGTACTCGCTCGGGAATATATCTACAACACAGAAACACAAAAATACGTATTTTACAATCTGTGGTTTGTTGTTTAATAGACGAAAAACCATCTACATAAGTATCTGCCACAAGGAATTACATACCATATAATTAATAGCTCAAGTACTTAGTCTAATTAAGTAAAAACAATAATCTAATTAATATAATTTAATGAACAACTGTTTAAAAATTATAACAAGGATAATCCATATCAAACAAAAGTATGTCTAGGTTAGTCTAGGAAAGGTATATACTATGAAATTTAGAGCGAGGGGCTTGCCCCGAGCTCTTAATTTCATAGTATATATCTTTCCATAGACTATCCAATTTAGCACATATTTACAACTCGAGTAATCTTTTAATTGGTCTATTGATAGTTTATTTGGCTGACTACTTGTATCACAGGTGTTTGTAAAAAGGAGCTCATTAACGAAGTTTTGTAAATCTACTCACTAGTATTATTGTAAAATGTGTGATTTCAAAAGGCCCTTCACTCCAGAATAAAAAGATGGTAGCTGCTGGTGTAAGTATGTATACTGTTATAAAGCGGTGTTTTACTATACATGTTCTTCTTACATGGTAAGATGACAAAATAAATTGACCAAAAGCAGGCAATAATTAAATTGCAGTGGAAGCTTTACATGTTTTGAAAACATTTTTTAATTTCACAGTAAAACTAAAGCTATAATAAATTTTGAAACATAGAGATAGTTTGTCCCCATAGATATAGTCTAGCAGATAGGCATTAAAAAGCAACTACCAATAGATCAGAGATTATAGGTTTTGTGTTTTGTTTTGTTTTTTTTTATTATTTCAAAGTAAAAACTAAAAGATTTATCAGAATATGTTTATATATATATATAGGTGGCACATTATCTTCAGACATAATCACAGTTTTTCAATTCATGACATCGTCCTGAACATGCATGAAATATTTGCCACTGGACATTAAGCAACCAATAATCAATCAATCAATCAATTCATGACGAAATAGATCACCTTCCTTAAGAAAGTTTATCACCAAGTTGCTTTAATTTTCCTGCACAAGGTTTCATAGTACACACTTTTCTGTGTACAAAGTAATTGCATGGATGATACATTATCATAATTTTAAGATATCGTTGTACTCTAATCAAGATATAAAGAACCATATGTATTACCCTTTATTTAAATGATAAAATTTGCAATTGTCAAAAACAATTTTTAGATCCAGAGATTTTTATAGCAGGATATTTAAAAATCAACGTGAAAACTAATTACAAACTATTTAATTTAATTTGGAACACAGCATTTTATTTCAAAATATCTTGATTACGATACAATGAAATCTCACCCTTGTGGTCATTCATGCGTAGTTACTTAGTACACAGGAAAAGTATGTACTATGAAAATTAGAAGGCAAATATAAGCCATTTGATTGGACGAGAAGGTGTAAGTATGTGCTAAGTGGTAATCGTTAAGAAAACAGATTTAATGTTTACAAAGGCGGAAGGATTAGAAGTTTAATTATTCATGCACTGAGGGTCGCCAGAGGATGCAACGAATTCATTTTATTTGGAAACATTATTTTTTCTTGTCAACTGTTATTGGGGGAAGTCGGTTTTGCAACTCTGTATAATACAGTCTTGCAGACCAAAATATTTGCTCTAACGTAGCCGGTGTCATGGAATGGATAAGACATGTTTAATTTAAAGTGTTAGCCTAGGTAAAAACCATCAAATTTTCGGAGGTATTTTTAAATACAACTTAGCACAGCATTCGAAACCAAATGTATTTTATTTACTAGTTAATCAGTGATGCCTATTTATTTTTCCGAAAGAGGTTCCAAGAAGATCATTTTTATATAAAGAAGACAGCAATATTCTAACAGAAAACCGATTAGTCGAGTATAGTTTTGATATTCGATACTCGGTACTACCGAGCGATACTCGAATACTCGAGTACTCGTTGACATCCCTAGTAATAACTAATTCCAGAAATTCATTATCACATTCAAATTTAACCTGTGATAACGATTATTATTCGTGATTTCGAATTCAAATGTATAGTTTAAGGAAGTTCCTAAATGGGCTTCCGTACATAACGGAGCATCATAAATAAAATGCAATTCAAGTAAGACTTGATATTATATCAATATAATATCAATTGTTCCCAAGTTATCCACACTATAATCATCCTGAGATCCCTGGCTCACTGGTCTACAGTGATCCGTAGTAAATTGGACCAGGATCATATGCTACGCTTCAATGACATTCTCCGTAACTATGCTAATGAAACTGCCTCTAGTCACCAGAAAATGAGGTATAATGTATGTGTTTTTATAACGATAGTTAATATCCAAGTATAATTACATCTGTTTCCATTGTATCAGGAGTTCAATTATATCACGACATCGTAAATTCATCTACCAGTTTAATTTTTTTGTTACATATAACCCATGCACTTACGGTGGAGCGTTTTAAGAAGACTGCTCGAATTTTTTCTTAAACTGTTGTAGAATTATATTGTGTGATGTGCATTTGATACTAATATTGCTGTCGAGCATAAGAACCAAAAGAACTTAAACAGAACAGCCAAACACCATAGCAAACTTGAAACCATGGATACCACAGAGACGAGAACTATACCTCTACCTTATTGCATTTCATCCTGGTTGACAACAAAACTAAGATCTATGACAAAATGATTGTCACTTTCCCATTATGAATAGTTATAATAGACTATCTAGACCAACATATGGCTTTTAAATATCTCATTGTATACGATATACCAGAGCAAGTTATCATTATGGCTATTCCCCAACACATGTATACTGAAATCTGCCCCAGAGATATTATGTAGAAAAAAGACTGAACCAATTCCGAACAAAAGAGAGGCGGAAGATACCAAAGGGATACATACATGTAGTCACTCGAAAACGAACTGACAATGCCATGTCAAAAAAACAAAAAGAATACAAACAACAGTCTACAAAACACGACATAGGACCCGCCATGTTACTCCTATAAAAACGTTAAGTGACCTAATTAATTGCTTAGACAGCACGCAATAGCGGATTGGTAATTACTCTTATCTAACCCAAAGACTTAAACCATCGGTCTTGTAAATTTTCTAACCCTAAAACTTCACCGAATGTGACATTTTGAAATTGAAATATGTTTTCTGACAAAGCATAAACAAGACTGTTATCGGTATGAACAATACAGACATTGAAAAATTAAAAAGCACAAAAAACAACACTTAAAACTATCAGTTTCTTAGTTTTTAAACTCACTAGAGACGTGTTAAATGTATATGAGATCTCACTTGTCCGCCATTAAAATACAATATGTCCGTATAACAACCGATGTTTGTGAAAACTTATAAATGATAGATGTGGAGTGTACGTTACTGAGATAGAAACCCAACGGTACAAAACAAAACGATTTCTAGTGGTCAACATAGTTTTTTTTAGGGTATTTGACAATAGAAAGGTGTGTGTAAAATGTGTCAAGTTCTAATTAGCTCCGAGTCTATAAAAGTGAACACAAAATGAAGACTATCAAAGATGTGTCATCTACAACAATTAACCAAATGACAAAAACAACTACTGAGAAGGTTCCTGACCTGGGGCAGGCACATGGATATGTTACGGGGTTAAACTTAAGTTTAAAACCTTCCCTACTCCGTAAGAGTGCAGGACATTGATGGACTCTCATTTGAAGTGTATAATGTCGTAAAACACATGGTATACAATTAATTATACTGGAACATATGGTACGACAAAAACCTGCCTTAGAACCATCGATTTATTTTTGTTAAAGAAGTCCGAAATGTTCACGGTTTTCTAAATGTGCGTTCGAACACCGCATACACTAACAATAACCACCAACAGCTGTACAATCGTTATATATATATATATGTGTGTGTGTACATGACTATAATCATTATTAATCAATATTTTTTTTTCTTTTTTCCTCTTTTTCATTTCAGAGCTTACTTTGGTTAGAACTATAGTTAAGTCGGTGCTATATAAACGTTGCTGTAAAAGTGTGATGTAATAAGCTTACTGTTGAAGACCTTCAAGTAATTATATTTTACAATGAATATGTGATGATCTTTGTCTCATGTACAGTATCATATTCCCCTCAATTCCTTTATTTTCAATACTTAATCAATGATGTCTTGCATGTAGGATTGTTTTCAAATGGTTATACAATATTTGATAACGAAATTGACGCTAATTTTAATAATATGGTTTTCTTGATTATTGTTTGCTAAACGTCCAGTGGTAAATATTTCATGCACATTCAGGACGATTTAAAATATGCAAAAATAGCTATAATCGTCGAAAACACAACATCTTAAATACGATTTTTGATAAAGCGGCTTTTTGAAAATATACACGCAAGAAACAACTATTCAGAGCTCGAGATGTTCATCCTGTCGTTATTGCTCAGAATTGGATATAATATTTTGAACTGTCAAAAATGTCCTTACTATACGGTATGGGTTTTGCCTATTGTTGAAGGACATTAGTGACCTATACTTATTTAAATCCACGTCATTTGGACTCTGTTGGTTAGTTTTATCATTGTCAGTTATACCACACCTCCTTATTTCATATAATATGATAGTTTTAAGTGATAGTTCGGTTTTGTCATCTAAACATTATATTGCAAACTCTAAAAGTTATAAAATGCACTATATATAACGATTACTATAGTCACGAACAATAAATGTAACTCATTTTTGTAAACGAGATAAAAAAAAATGAAACGTATGAATATCTATTGATATAACATAATTATGAACATACAGATACAATGTATTAATTGAAAGAATTCTTATAATACAGATATAAAGTGAAAATAAAAATCAGCACTTTCATGAAAAAATATGTTACAATGCGAAAAAAGTGTTTCAAGACTACTATATGTGGTAATCACTGCTAGTTTGTATAATTGTTAGAAGGATGATAAAATGTTAAGGAACTATATATTGGAATATGACTGCCCTACTTCTGCCATATTTACTTTGGATTTAATATCATTATACACTTTTGATTAGCCACGAAAACTAAATAATTTCAACTTTCATATGATCAAACTTTATATGATTGTTAATTCCAAAAACAGACAACGCGGAATTCTGCGGAACAATTTTTAGAATTTTAGTGGTTTCTACAGTTGTACAAACTTCTGCGACATGAAGATTACTATCCTTATTTCTAATATCTGAATAAACATGTCTATTGTGTATATGAATCTGTTAAAAACTACAAGACACTAATGCATTAACTTGGTTTACGAAAGAAACAAAGTATACTGATGTCTATTTCTAACAAATGCAAGAGAGATAACTCTTTTTTTTATTCACATAAAACGAAACGTTTCGAAAGTAAGAAATAGACACCCATGTAAAGCAGGGTTTTCTAATAATTTGACAATTCTTCCATATCTAAATATACCGGTTCTAAATATCCCAATACTGAAATATTTAGACTTTGTGACAGTTATTCTTCATAGCTTTATATGGATATGTACTAATTGACTAGTTACACGTATTCAATATATTCTATATTCTGTATAAAGGTTTTCTAGGTGAACATGTTTTAGTTACAAGACGTTTTACATCAGGTCGATTAAAATATGCTTTACAATGATCGTCATTAGAGGCGTCGTATACAGGTATAATGTCTTTATATTTTGTACGTTTCTTTTCTGTAATTATGGCGTCATTGACGTATTTTTTCTCGCGCTGTCGTATTTCCTCCACTGTTGGTGTTGCTTTGCATCGTTGCCGGAAACTCAGCTTGTTAATATTTTTCCTGATATCTATGTCATTCTTGTTTTTGATTTCCTGAAAAACAAAATACAAGTATAGAAATAAAGAACGTGTACTTGTTTGAACGGTTGCTTCCGTGAATTGTATATGACTGATGTCTGCTGTTAATTACAGTCACCGTATGTTCCTTTTTTTTTCTATCTAAGGCTTAAATAAACATATACAGTTTGACTAAAAATTATACGGCTGTGCGTTAAGTTTTCAATTGGTATCCTTTCTCTTCTATATCTAACTTACAAATGTCCACACTTTATTATTTTACTTCAGTCTCACCTCAACTTAAAAGAAATTTTACCTCAAGTTTTCATTAAATGAAAAAATTATGTCCAGCGATGTTGCCGAAAACGCATATTTTGTAAATAATTTTAGTTAAAATGTCTTTTAATTAAAACACTGAAGTAAATAAACTTAAACCTATGTAAACATTTTTTTTACATCTTTCGACGTCCATGAGCCTAGCATGTAAAGTCGAAAGTGCTACCCCCTACACCAAATTTGATCCTCAATATATATATATATATATATATATATACAGCACAAACAACATTTTCCAAAAGACCAAAAAAGCCAAAAAGTATATTTTAACAAAACGCATTTGACTTGCAGGTCGAACAACGGATGTTCTTAAACAACATCCGTTGTTCGACCTGCAAGTCAAATGCGTTTTGTTAAAATATACTTTTTCACTTTTTGGTCTTTTGGAAAATGTTGTTTGTGCTGTATTTAGACCCCTCTACCAAGAAATTTGTTTTGCATGCACACGTATAAAAATTGCGGTTTTTATCCAACGCAATCATAGGTTTGAACGTTGTTTTCAATTTAGACTTGTTTATATATATATATATATATATATATATATATATATATATATATATTAAACCATTCAAGAACGATAGTTAAAAAAAAGTGAAATAGAAAAGTACCAATAATAACTTAATTCATCCAGACATTGATGAGAAAACCGCTAATCTAATCGCTAGAACTTGAAACGGAGTATATGGCTAGGTGCGTCGTAAAGGTCTCCTGTTATATGTATACATGCATCCCGTTATAAAAGTTTCCAGTAATATCCAATATAGTCAGAGATAAAGGCAGCATAATAAAAACATCATTTAGTAATTAATTTTCAGAGTAACCATAATGAACATTTTTGAAAAATAAAAACGAAAAAAATCAAACGTCAATTAAAATCAGTTCACACTTACCTGATACAAACTTAATGATAGCCTCCTGGACGTGTCCCGTTAGAGATAGTCCATATATTTCAGTTATTTGTTCAATATAGTATTCCTGCGTGCAAGGTTTATTATGATGAAACGTTTTCCAAACATTCAAAGTCATAGTGATTGTATAAATGAACCTTTTTAATTCAACTAATTACTATAAAGGCAAAAGTCTTTAAAAAATTATAATGTCAACATTTGCATTGACACCAGCGATGATAAAGAGGACATAGCAAAATGTCAGTCCTATTTGTTCAATTTTACTACGCTTTTATGAGGCTGCCACTTTTGTTTATTAAGATCATAATTAAATCAGGGATTTAGTCATATTTTCAAGTCATCGTTAAATTACAATACGGCTACCTAGCAATAGAATTTTGACACAGAAATGTACCGTTCTGTTTTATTGAGGTACACCCATATCTCCTTCTATTCATACCAATAGTCTGCGTCAAAATAACCGTCTTCTCTGAGTACTTAATCAAATACTCTATCAAATATGATCAAATAAAATTAATAAATTGCTTTGAATTTTCCCTCTTAACACTAGAGTGGCACGCCTCTTTTGTTTTACATAAATTTCCTATTTATTTACAGTTGCTAGTACTTTAAAACATACACGACCTTAGTATTCAAAGTTCTTGACATTTGTATGAAATAAGTTATATGATTTTAATGCAGATTAACTTTTTGTACATTATCAACATGTAACTGTCACAAAGAACAATTTACTTCAGTGTATGCAATTGATAAAATATCATATCTATAAGATCTCTGCAGAGTTAAAGTACATGTACGTTGTCGGGTAAAAGTAAAACGTACCATTACTTTTGGTTCTTCTTTCGTAAGTTTAACCATCAAGAGGAACGCTCCAAATTAAAAAGTTTGGGATGCCAAAGATAAAAATCCTTGGGGACATTTACAGTCAAAGGGGACAATAACCGATTAAAACCGACTAAGGAGAACTCTGACTAAAGGAGCAGCAGCTTTAGTTTTGTACAAATTACAAATGTTACCATCAAAGAATCCTAGCAATATAATCAATGCAGAAACATTGTCTACATTGTCTACAGAGAATAATAAACGCGACGAATAACAGTCCACCAACAAAAATACTGACCCGGCAAGTTGTAGTACAAACTTGCAGTGTTTGTAAATCCATATACATTAATGGCAGTGCTTTTTCAGTCGTTTATTCTGTTAATTTTAAAACAAGCAAAACTTGTTTGTGAAAACTTAACTTAATAATGTCTTGTAATAGAAATCGATGATTGCGTTTTGCATATTTGCCTTACATTTTGCATTTAATAGGACATTAAAAATATATTATTAATTAATAAACCACAAACATAGGACATTCTTGTTCTCCATTATTTTGCTTTGAATAGTTAAAATGTAACAAGATTTAAATCGGACTGGCACTATTGTTAAAGATCGTAATCAAAGTATATATCGTTATCTATCAGAAGTATAGGTTACTCTTAAGTCTTTTAAATATATTATATTAAAGTCCATCGTAACACTGTTATAACTGAAGTTTTGACTGGATTCATATCTCAAATATTTATTTGACTTTTTAGCGGATGTTTCTTGCTGTATTTCGTCTGATTTGGTTTTGACACACTCAAACGTTTGTGAAATTTTGCTTCCCAACTTTTGGTTTATCTGATCAAAGTCATTCCAGAAACACGAGTTACGCCTACTAAAATAACATACTGTACGTTTTTATGGCAGAGTAGAAAGTCTTTTATGATAACATTGTTTTCTATTGGTTTTCTATTGGGTCTTTAAAAAAATTCATTGTAGATTTGTCCACACCTTCTCAGTCTGGAATTGGCATTTATATCATTTAGCCAGCGAAAACATCCACACCAAAGTTTAAAAACCACTATTGTTCGAGAATTAGGTTTAAAGAATTTACATATACCGATTGTTTATGTGCCTGGTACTGAGTTAGACAAGGGAAAAGGCAACTTTTTATCATGATAGGAAAAGTTATCCTTGAAATTTCATATCAATTGTGAGAAATATACTCCATATGCAGGTGCTGTCGATTAAAAATGAATCATCGCATATGGGAAAATTGAAATCATCTCTGTTGTCTCAATCGACCCTCACTGTCAATTTCTGAATGTAAGTCATGATATTCTGCATACATTCTATGATGAAAATGTTCATAACTAAAACTGAATGACTGCGCAAAAAAAATATAAAAACCCTTTACTTCATATCGATAATTGAATGTCACACGAACCGTCAAAATTGAATGGCTAGTTTGTGTCTCATATAAGTTCGAAACACTTTAAATGTAAACATTCTGTATTTTACACTGCAAATTGGTGAATTAAACTTAAGAGTGAAAGTTTGAAACCTTTTACGTGTAACTCTAAGCGAGTTGACATTGAAAAATCTGTAAATGTTTTTGATTTCATATTAAAACTATAAATATCTTGCCAATGATGTATATGTAAACACTAGTACCTCCAACATCTCTTAAATAAAAGTAATATTTCTTATTGCAAATCTCCTTGAAAATCAAATGGTTTGAATTAAAGCTTCTGTGTTTCTTTTTATTAACATTTATTTACCGGGTATTATTATCTATTAACTTATTTTATTTATTTATTCAGTTATAACGTAAAAGTACGACTGTTTATATTGCTATACATGTTGATTTTCATTCCTTCGCGTAATTAAGTTCAATGTTGGTGTTTCCTTTTCTTGGTATACAGTAGTATAAGTAGATATGCTGATGTTCTCGCATGTCTCGTGAATAATAGTATGTCGAAATGTCTGCTACACATATACTTAGCGCATTCCGTCATCATTGACAAGACAAAATAAAAAGAGATATGAGATACGATGGGGACGAACGTGTTCAATACATTATGTTTATATATTAATGCATACCCAGACTACCCTGTCTACATGCCTACACATAATTTACGACCTTATGCGCATGGCAGATTTTTTCGGAAACAAACTTCATCGGGTACGCTCGAGACCTAACATTTGAGAAAAAAACAAAGCAAAATGTAAGAACGCATGAAAATTGGAAGGGGTAAATGAACAACAAAATCAAACAGCAAAAGTAATCGTTGAAAGATATCAAGAGACTTCCATTAAAAGACTAATAGGAAATAACAGTGTTTTACTTAGTTTTCTGTTTAGGTATTATCAATTTTCATTATTTCACATAACAATTCAACCAATCTTTGTTTATACATCGTATGATCTAGGAAACTATGCATGTTATAACTGAAGTATTCAGATAGTTAGTTAGTTATCAAGTTTGGCTTTGATTTTATATCATGATCCCTCTCTCTTACACATGTGCTATTAAAAGGAAAGATATTTTTAACCAGAAAAATACACCCAATAAATGTATGTTTCAACAATTGTGTACTTCCTTGATAAACCATTATCAAATTAAAGATACCATTCTCACCAGAAGGACAATCTAATAATCGGTATATGTATCATCGCGTATTTGTGCACGATCCCTTATCCTTTTTCTGATTTTGGCAAGTTTGCAAATCCCAATTTTAAAAGCGTTCGTCAGATTGTAGATTGGTTACTTCGACAAACGAAAACATTACACATATCATCTTGAATACAAAAAAAATCGTAGAGTCAGATATCGTGTTTACCTACAAGTTATTTAAAATATATCGCATTTGATTCCATGTTTACATGTTTATATTCTTATATAAACACCAGCTGACTTTTCAATTGATTTATTTACACCTCTAACACTTTCAAGCTTCTACCAAAATCCACTTGTTTATTTTGAATTGATAAAGGATATATTTTATAAATACCTGAAGATCAATTTCAGATCAAACTCGTTCTAACCCCTGTTGATAATCCTCGATTATCCTAAAAGATTATCACCAGGAGTTCTTCTTTTAACCTTAAATTTCGAAAATCTTGACTTCTCACTTATCATGAAAATATTCTAGATTACTTATGACGGACATGTATTTTAGATTACTTTAGACGGAAATGTATTTCAACATAAATATTGGACTGCATTCCATTTGACCCTTAAATATCTGTTTAACAGCATGAACACAATTTCTCTTATTAAATGTGTAAGAATGTAATAAACATCTATATTTTTGAGAAAAAAATCCAGTTCAATTTGTTTTAAAATGTGATGGAAACAACAATATAAATGGTATCGTAGGGTATATATAGGGTTGTGTGAATAGAATCGTAGAGTGTGTGCGTAGCATCATGTAGTGTGTAAAGGGTTTTATGAATAGCATCGTGTACAGTGTATAGGGGCTTTTGTAGAAAGTTTCACGTTCCTTTCGTTTACCTTAATAGCTAATGTTCTGTCGATGATGGCTTGCGTTAATGGTGACTTGAAGTATGACATGGCGAATCTATCTTCCATTGCGTCATAATGTGGAATAATATTTGTCCGTCTTGAACTGTGGTGTATCTGTGTTTTTACTGCATCATTGACAAAGCTTTTTTCCATTCGCCGCATTTCATCGATTGATGGAAGTGATTTGATGGTTGTTGGTACTGTGTCCTTTCTCCAAAGAGGACTTCCAAATGTTACCCAAGACATTCCCTAAAACAAAATAAAGGTTTATGACATTTTCAATGTTTATTACAAAGGATCATTACTTTGCATGTGTTATGTTAGGGTATTAATGCCATCCTGTTAATCTAATTATTCAATCATGCTCACCTCGAAAAACAATAAAAAGTTAAACAAAAATATTTTGACACTGGATTTTTTGCGTTCAGTGGAAGTTTGTTCCCAAGCATGACTAACAGTTTGTTTATACTGCATTCTGCATCAAGAATGTGAAAAATTAGCACGTACTAACATAATTCTATTTAGTTCTATCAATGAGGGATCAGGAGTAGTCAAAAAGGTGGCTGAAAAGTCCACTGGAAAAAGGTTTAAAAAGGGACGGCAGTCAAAACTCAGAAAAATATACTACAAAAATAAACCACTGACAGATAATCGACAAAAAGGGGGTCTTAGCCTATTCGCCCCTCTCCCCCAGTATATGCTATTGAATAAGTGGAATGTATCTGTATATTTTGCATTTAAATTAGCAACATTTTTAGAATTATTTTTAATTTCGGTAACATTATGCGCATGATAAAAATATATAAACCATCGGCACTAGTTTTTTTTCTAACATTATAGAATGCAAATGCATTCCCATAGGTTATCTAATACACAAAAAAAAGTAAATCTCGCTGAGCTTAAAGTTATAATATTGGATCAGCATTGCTTGGATTTTTATGTATGAACACTATATAAAAACGTTTCTAGAAAATAAACATGTGTTTGAAAAAGATGGGTAGTGTATATTTGATTTTTTTAAATTCTATACTATAGAGTTAAATTATTTCTTCAGATTTAAAATGGAGAATCTTACCGGTTCATATTTTTGATATTTCCTGTGTCGATACATTGATGCACCATAACGTTTCAACTGTACTGACCATCAAATTTGAACAGTAGATGATCAAGGTCTGGATTAAATGGTATTACAGTTATCTTAATCTAGTCTTTTACCGTTATGTTATTTAAATATATATAAATACAAAGGTGATGTATTCTTTAATATCAAATTGAAAAAAGTCATTTGGATTTAGGAACAAGTTAGCATAGATTTTTAAAAATATTACTTTTAAGCTTAGTGATTTTAAAATAACATCTAATTCGCACAGGAATAGGCTTATAGAACAGCTTTATATATTATGATAAAAGATAATAAACGAAATACAAAAATAATAACTGTAGTATTGAAACAAGAAAATACCTGAATAGATTTGAAACTGAAATAATTAAAATTAATGTTAGTTTCTCGATTGCACTAAAAAAAACAATAAAATAGAAACATGAAACCTTGCATACGTCTCAGTTTTTCGGGTGTTTTTTTGTTCGATTTTGGTTTATTACAACTTTTACAGATAATTGCTAATATAAATGATTTTTTTCTTTATTAATAAAGTATCAGAGATACAATAAGTCTTAAGCAGCTGTCTTGACGAAATTGGAAATACTTTTCAATTTAACCAAGTCCTGATATTAACAATTTCGGTTGTATATTTACCACGTACTGTATTTCACATTCTATTTAAACATATACATTGCAACGGATTAATGTTAAAATGTATATAATTTCAGAATATCTAATACATCGTCTTGATCAGATTAAATGTGTCAAATCTATACTGATAAGATTAAAGTTTTGATAATGGGTATTGTCAATTAGAGAAATACTAATTAGTTTTGCAATTAAAATTGTCCCCAAATGTGAACATTTGTTTCATATAAAAATGACATACTTCTAAAGTATTAATGGATAACTTATGCAATGAATATTATCCCAATATTTCAAAAATAATGTGATGAGCCATTTAAACTATTAAATAATGAATAAATTATTATATTAGTATTAACTATCTAAGAATTCAGCATAGTTAAAAAAAAATCCATTTACCTTTATCTCTATGATTTTCTACTTATACATTGAATGTCTCTTGATAAATATTATATTAGTATATAAATGTAAACGAAATGTTATCCTGGTTTTGTGTACGTGTATCCATTAATTTAATTGGATAGTATTTTTCATACAAATTTTGAACTGTCATACACATTTGCAGAGTGTAAATATTTTGCCGGTAGTTGTTTTGTTGACAAGAGAGACTAACGTTTGAAGTCATGTCGATTTGTGACAAACATTAGATTTCAGTTCAATGTTATGCAACTAAAAATACCAACTGTCTAAAACAATGAAAAGGTGCAATTCATTAAAAAAAAAATCAAAACCCACTCACTGTTAAAATATAAACTAAATACTAAATCATACTGAAATAAATATTGAAGAACAATTCTGAAACAGCATCAGTTCAAAGCAGACGAAGAACAGCAATAAAAGCGCTGTTCCTTTGCTTTTTGTGATTTTTGATGAGCATGTAATGATTTTTTTGTCATGGATGGATATTCCATATCCTTTCTTTTTTTTTATTATAAATCTATCCACGACATATATAGCAATTACCGGGTTAGGGCAACTTTACCCGAGGCAGAGTCGAAATCTCAGGGAAAGTTAGCCTTACATGAATTTGGCTATTCTGTAATGTTGGTCATATAGCTCCTAACGCTTCTATGTATATATATATATAAACCCATGGCTTTTAAATGTTCTAGGGATTAAGCGTTCCTGATAATGGTAAATCCAGAAAAGCGCTTCAGGCGCACAAAACCTATAAAGTGTAATGTTTAATTCAAAATGGGAAAAATTAAAAAAATTTGGTTTAATATATACGAGTGTACATAAATTTGTTGAATAAGATATACCCAAATGATAATATACAAGACTGCATACTTCTTTTAACGGATTTGAATACCCTACTGTTATGTCTAGTTTTGAAAGTTTCATAGTTATCCCTTTCTCGGTCCTTAATTCCTGCAAGTTTTTATAGTATTTATAATAACAAGTCCGATACACTTTCGTAATTCTCTCTTTATGCACCTGTAAAGGATGAGCTATCTGCATGATGCAATTCATTAAAGAGGTTTTTCAAATTTTCCTTGTACATGTATATGCTTCACTCAAAGGGTAAACATCGGCAATTTATTGAAAACTACTGATATTGAATATGAAAGAGGCGAAATAATGTACTTTAAAGTTTTTTTCAATAGTTTTTCATATATCTCTTATACCCAAATTGTATTAACCAGTACACATTACTTAAAGACAATTTATGCAATTTTATTAGAAAATCTAATGAAGAAATATATTTGTATCTGAAAGACAATGAATATAGAGTAATATAAAGTTTGGTTTTGATTTTATAGAATGTTCTTCTTATTCATTTTTGGATTGATATTAAAGATTTTCAGAAATCTATCAAAATTACAGTGTCGGGCCACCTATACATTTAGATCACATGTTAAAAGACATACATGTACACGTGGTAGAACCTCAACATACACATATGAAGCAATATTTCGGTAAATTTTAATAAAGATTTAAATACTTCTTTTTAGATGTATTCAGAGGAATTTATCACGTGGAAATAAGCCCTACACATCTTTCTATATAGTAACGGGTCCGGTGTATATTTCTACAATGTCCAGATTTTGTTTTCTCTGATGCACAGTACGTTGTTTTCTATTTGCCACTGCGAATTAGACAATTATTGTTCTTTGTAAGAAGTTAACTTTAAGATTTGTCAAATCATATCCCATATTTTTTAATACACATTTGAAACAGTATTATGACGAATTTTCAATTTCAAAACGAAGAGAAACAGCAATCAGACAATCGGTGGATGTTTTATGTGCATCGTATTGTAAGTTTCAAAAGGCAAGCTCGGGGTACTAAATATGTCTAGATTAAAAACTAAGTATTTTAAAATGATATCTTAATTCTTTAACTTTGATGTATTTTTTTTAATATGAATAAAATGAGATGCGAGTATACGTCAATGTTGAAGCAATTAAAAAACAAAATAAAATCAGAAAGACATATAGGACTTTTCCTGAACCGATTTTAAGTGCGTTCTCTGTATATTTTGTTTTTCCAGTATAGGCGAAAACGGCTTACACAAAAACAAAATGTCTTTCCGGTGTTTTTGTCTCGTTGAGTTTCAATGTAATTTCTTTATTAATTTTTTTTCTCATATGTTGAAGGTACCAAAAACTTACCGCATAAGACATCTTTGTCCTTTGGGTTTGATATTTAGTTTAGTTAAAGATATACGTTGGTAGGATCGTTTTTCCATAAGGTTAATATCTTCGTTTGAGTTCTGCAGAAATAAAATAAAAATATTGTTAAAGGAATTAAAACGGCATTATATTAACCAGAAGTAAAATATTTAACATTACATAGAAATCACTCGTTACGGGATTAAAATGAGAATTAAATATGATTTTAGTTATCATTTCACCAAAAGTTCGAATAATTACCGTATTAAAAGTTAATATCGTGTGCTAACGGTTATTAAATATTTGTGCAAGATATTTAAGTTTCTGATTTAATTAAAAGTGAAAACTTTTTGTACTCTGTATAGAATAAGAATACACTAATAATTAGAATTTTTTTCTCCAAAAAGTTCATTTATATTTTTGTTTTTGCTTTTGCGTTTGGTTGGTTGACTTTTTGCTTATCTTGATTTTTTTCTTTATTTTTTAACTATTACTTCCATATGTCATAAAATAAATATATCTCAAGGGTTATCTGGCTATGGTAATATGGTCAACTGGACTTCTTCCATCCGCCAGTCCGGTGGCGTCCATTTAGCTGTGCTGGATGTATACATACGTAGTCACGTCACGGGCGGTCAGAATGAGGACATTAAACCCGATGTATCATGTGAGGAGAAAGTCACGCCCTCTTGACGTCAACAATCCATTGCAACAACTCTTTAAGGGGTCTGTAGGTGTCCTGTTGCACGACAAATTTCTGTTCCTTTCTATCTTACCCTTTTTTCAGTAGCAGTTGTTATTGTATACCTTTCATCTCTGTTGACCTACCCTGTAGAACCTACCTATTGTATTAATTGTAAATTTGTTCTCGTACTTAATATGCATGGAATATTTGTCACTGGACGTTAAGCGAACAACAATCAATCACACAAGATAGAGGGTTTCTATATGTTGCGGTGAGATCTGTATTGTATAAAGCATGTTCTGTATATCTATATTATTAAAACAAAAAGTAACGATGAACAATATACGGTAATGTAACATATTGAAATTGATGAGATTTTTCAAAGACTATGAACTAAATTGACATTTTCCTTCTCATATAAGAAAAGTCACTGTAGAGGTATTACATCATATTCCATGTAAATGAAACAGAAATCAGAGTTTCAAAATTATAAGAGATGGTTCTATATCAAAAGCACCTATGACAAAACTACATGTACGGTTTTAAAAGATACTGTAGGAATATTTCATTTATTGACCAGATGGTTGGTTTGTAGTTATATATTTATCATATTTCTTACATAGTTGCATTCAATATTGTTTAATGGTTTAATATGTGGCCATCCTTAGTGTACATTTAGTAGCCAAATATTTAACATAAATTATTCTTTTTAACAATGTTCTAGAATATGCATTGATATTACATGTAATTAGTATTACTAAGAGTAAGGGAAAGTCCCCGATGCTGTGAATTACTCTGAACAGATACAATTTATATCCCCAACCCCTTCTGGTTCAATGCAGTCTCTACAGAATTCCAGAGTACCGCTCTTTGTCACAAGGGGGACTCCCGCGGATTCCCGACCCTGTGGCCTTCTCTCGGTATTGAGATACTTAAAGTCAAGCAATTAAAAATTAATTTGGTTTCCAGCATTTTTGTTTTAGAAATTAATCAAAAATATTTTTTTCATTATTTGCTTGTTCTTTTTTTTTCTTTATCTTTTTTTATATTTATATTCAGAAGTATTTTTGTTATCTGAACTGTCATCAATGTCTAAAAGATTTTAAAACGGGCTTAAACATTACTAGATTTTGTGGAATAGCAGAGAACAAGTTTTGAGTC